TGTGTGTGTGTGTGTGTGTGTGTGTGTGTGTGTGTGTGTGTGTGTGTGTGTGGTTGTACAGCTATCCTACTTACAGGACCAGAAATGGCATATTCACTAATCTTCTGAAGACTGATGGTCCGTGTTAGGACCAGAACCCTTTCCTAATACGGTGGACTCCTTGTTTTAGGCTTAGGGGTGAGGTTTACACATAAGATGTGAATAGAGTTTTTGTTCCAGTTAAGTGAGGAATATATTGGTTATGGTTAGGGTCAAGGTAAGGGTTAGGCATAAATGCAGTTACTAAAATGAATGGAAGTCAATACAAAGTCCCAATATGGATAGAAATGCAAGACTGTGTGTGTGTGTGTGTGTGTGTGTGTGTGTGTGTGTGTGTGTGTGTGTGTGTGTGTGTGTTTAATATTTAAACTATTTTACAACAAACTGTGTGTAAATAATAAAATAGGAACAGCAACTACTCCTCTAAACTGGACAAAACCAGTTTTACTCTTTTATTCCAAGGGATGCGTTTGAGCGGCCTCGCGTCAGAGGGAAACCATCACTGATCAGGGAGAAGCGAGCGAGTAAATCAGAGGTCTTTTGTGATTGGCTCTGTGCTCCTCTGCCCCAGCAGCAGGCCTGCTGACTTCAGCGGGCGTTCACTCAGCTATGAAAGCTGGCGCTGTTGCAAAAGGGGGGCGAGGGAAGCACGAGTGGGAAAATTATAATTGTAAGTGACGTAGAAAGAAAACAGGCTCGTCTTTGACACTAGTGAGGAAACGTAAAAAGTGAAGTGGGAGAGCATAATCCGGGGGGTGGGGGGGAGGGGGTCTTTTGTTGTGGCTCAAGGGGGTGAGTGAACGGGGTTGTCTGGGATTGGACTGTAATTCTGGATTAAGAGTTCTGGAGAGAAACTGGGCTGAGCAGTCTGGGACAAACAATGTGAGGGGAACACACACACACACTCTCGCTCCGCCTGATGTGACTTCATCATGACAGAACGTCTTCGTCAGAAACTAACCGATCTGCTGCGAGTAAAGGTTGGTTCTTTATTTGTAACTGCTGTGAGGAGTTTTTGTTTGAGTGTTTAATCGCTGAGAAGGTGTGACTCAGCTGTGAGGTTCTATGCATGGACAGGGTCTGAGGATGCATGGGCATGAAGGCGTAATAAAGCAGAGGGTCCACACACATCAAACAGACATGGAATCACACACACACACACACACACACACACACACACGAGCTGCTTTCTCTGTCTGTGTAAAATGCCCTTCACTCACAGCCAGAGGAGAAAGCAGCTTCAGATGGCAGGATTTAGTCTTATTTCCTGATGCTTGGACACCTCTCCTCTGATTGGCTAACAGCAACACGACTCTACCACTGACTCCGTTTCCTCTGCAACGCCGATGTTTTATCTCCACAAATAACACAAGCTTGGAGGAGTTCTGCTGTGTGGTGGAGTTGCTAATGCTAACGGTTAGCTTCTACTAGGTGAGACATTCTGTGCTAATCCCTGGACGCTAAGCCAACAACAGCCTTCCCCCATCATGAGTCAAGATGGGTGAGTCCATGAATGTTAAGTGACAGTGTGACGTAGATCTGTCAGGATTTTCTAATCCTGGAATATCACCGTCTGTTTTCTATCAGAAGTTAATGCAGGACATGTGTGTAGGAGACTAGGGATGGGTACCTTTGACATTGAATCGATCCGGTACTAATTCCTGGTACCTACGAATCGATACCGGTACTTAACGGTACCAATTTTCGATACTTTTGAGTGTTTATTATTTTAATTCTCTTTTATAATTAAATATATATATTTCTCAATATATAACAATATTTGATAAATATCACGATAAATAATATTCAACTGTTTGTATTTTAACATCGTCCTTGTAGTTTTATAAGCTGATAATTAAACTGAAGCAAACATCTTTACTGTGAACTAAATTTACTGTGTATCTTCAGTCCTTTTGCCGTCGTTTTTCATTTGATTTTTCCTACTGGGAAGATAGAATTTCTGAGGAGAAAGCGAACGCACCATTAGCTGATAACAATGGTGGCAATGGAAGCTAATTTATCAAGCTAACGTTATCTTAAACAGTTTATTTAGCTGCTGGAGCAGATTAAAACGATGATGCCTCACACTTAGATCGTTGTAAAGTGAAGCCAAACTTTAGAGCACGTTCATGTTCTTCTAGTCGGAAATTCGGAGTTCCGAGGAGAAAGCAAACGCACCGTTAGCGAAACGGAAGCTAACAAATCAAGCTAACGTTATCTTAAACATTTTATTTACCTCAGATTAAGATGAGGATGTCTCACTTAGATCGTTGTCGCTGGTTTCATCATCACCCAGTTACCCATCACATTTAGTGAAGTGGACCCAAGCGTTAGCGTGCGTTCTTTCTACCATGCTGCTCTGTTTACAACTCGCTCGCAGGGACCGACGACATAACGCTCTTGCGCATGCGCAGCTGTCTAGGCAAGTTCTCGTTACGAAGGACGAGTATCGAAACGAGGCACCGTTTGAAATGACGTGAATCGGTGCTCGGTCGGTCTATGGAATTCGGTCGGTAACTTAAAAAGTACCGAATTCGGTACCCATCCCTATAGGAGACTATTTTCATGTTCAGCCTGCATGACACATTCAGATTATAATTTAAAGATTATAAGAAAAACAGTTTCTTTGTGAACTTTGCCTTTAGCAAAGTTCTCTGATCCACTCGAACCATCATTTCTGGCAGAAGTGATTACGTTTAGAATACCGGCCAAACGTGAGCAGCAAAGTCAAACATGCTTCCTTTTTATTAGAAATACATGTGATCAAAAGGAAGGTTCGCTCTTTAGGAGACTTGCCCAGGACAGGCTCAGCACTGAAGTTTAAATATGCTGTATAGTTGTTAAGTGTGAAGCACTTTGTGTCAATGGGACAAGTGGTTTATTAATAAAGTTTGACTGATGTAGTGTTAAATTCCCTGTGAAATGACGGCAATTCAAGTGCCGAAGTGAGTGTATAATGGACATGAAGTGCAGATGTCACAAACATGAGATCACACTTTAGTGGAGCAGCTGATGAGGCAGCAATAATCAACAGGAGAGCATGGGCAGCCAGGTGAGAAACAAAGGATCATTTATGGAGAGGGACTGGATGATTAACGGCTGGTTGGATGAGCGGATGAGAGGCAGGTGTGAAGAGCTGAGGAGCCAAGGAAGACACCGATGAGCGGATGAATCATGAAACCGTACCAGACTCAGAAACCATCAGCACCGGAGCAACGAGATGACTGAAGAAACTAAACTGAATAACACACAAACACAACATCTGTCTGCATTTAGCCCTGAGGAACTTTACCTTTTATTGTCCTTCTTTAAACCGTGTTAGTCAGTATAACGTCCAGTAATGGCTGGTAGATGTAAACACGAACAGTGTTGGGCCTGACAGAATAAAAATGTGATTATTAATCTTTTTAAATATAGCTTTTAAAAGAGAAACCGTACATTCATTCCTCTGAACACCCCGTGGAGGTATTATCTTTTTTAATATATAGCTTTTTAACCAGCCCAACCAGCCATTCCTCCCCATCCCCGCATATTTCTCTCCTCCTGCTCCCTCACATCATCACACAAACATGCACATAGGACCTTGGGGGGTGGACAAGTCAGGGAGTAAGGGTATGGACCCCATTTCTGCATTCCTGTGGCAACCTGCCCCCCAATTTTATTTGCACCTTATACACTTCCACCGACGACATTCCACGCAAACACACACTTAGGGCCTTGGGAGTGAGCACATTCAACGGCAGTTGGCAGGGGGATTTCTCAGCCTCCTCCCGAGTGCCGGTGCCCACTTCCAATTTTAAACCGCACTTAGACACCGAGGGCTGTGGGTGCAAGTGGGGTGGTGCAGTGGCATCAGCTGGCATAGGCCAGACAATGCCCGCATTGCCCGCTCGCCACAGCCATGGAATACACCTCATCAACACACAACACTATAATGGAGCAGGCGGAGGGAGACTAGGGGTCTTAGCACACCTCTGTTGTTGCTTGGCTTCCTGGGGCTGGAGACTAGGAGGGAGATCTGGCCGTCTGGTTGGGGTCTGGGGTGGTAGGTTGCTGTGCTTGGCGTTGGGCAGGGGAGCCTGCTCATCAGCACCCCAGCAGAAAGGGTCGAACTCTGGTAACCGGTGATGGTTGTACCCAGTGTGCAGCAGTACTGGGACCAGAGTGAATAGGGTGTGTATGGGGAGCATGAGTGGGTGTCCGGCGTGCACTTTTGTAAGTCTTTGGTTGTATGTGTATGTGTGAGCATGAGGGAGGGAGTGTGTGACTGTGTTTGTGTATGACTGTATATGTCAGGTGGGACCTTTTGAGGTGCCTCATCTTCGTTCTTCAAGAAGACGTTCAAGCAAGCTAAAAAAAAACAATTTAAAGTCAAATAATTAACGCACCATGAGGTCACTTATACAAACCTGTGTGTGTGTGTGTGTGTGTGTGTGTGTGTGTGTGTGTGTGTGTGTGTGTGTGTGTGTGTGTGTGTGTGTGTGTGTTTGAGGGTCTCCTGTTCTGTCAATGTGCTTCACATTCACCATGGCACCGGCTGAACTGCCAGTCCGTGTCTCCAGAAAGTGCTTGCACCAGGGTTCGAGTTTTCCTAGATTTACCACGTTTTCCCGTTCTTTAGGTCTGAGATGGAAACGGCTGTCTCAGAGCGTGTTTTGTGTGTAAACAGCTTTAAAGGTGAGGCTCCTGGCCCTTATCGACCCTTTGATGTCTGGAACAAGAGAAAGTATTTCTTTCTTTTTGACCATTTGTGGTGTTCAGGGTTAAGATGGTGGCTGATAAAATGGAAGATTAGGACTATTGATATTAGTAATTGAGTAATAATGTTTAAATGCTGTTTTTTAAACAGTTCCCTATTGAATGAGCTTTGCCTTATTTACTTTGCTTCAGAAGAGGCCGTGTGAGTCAGTCACAGAGGTTTTCTCATCCTTGCTCTGCTGCCTCTGTGTGTTCACTTGCAGTTCGACCCGGAGAATTCCGGTTTCATCAGCATGGAGCTGTTCAGGGACTTGCTGGCGACGCACGGATCTGAGCTCGACCCTCACAAACTAGAAGTCCTGCTGGCTCTCGCTGACGGCAACTCGGACGGGAAAATCTGCTATCAGGACTTCGTCAACCTGGTGAGATGCTGAAATCAGACCTCAGCTGGTCCTCGGGGTGTTGGGTATCCCTCCACAGAACCAGCCCACTCTAGATCATCAAACAGATCATCCATGTTTCAAGTTCACCTCCTCTATAAGGTTGTGGTTCTTCCTGACAGCTAATGATAAATACCCTCTGTAACGTTCACCTTGTCCCACTTTCAGTTTCCCCTTTAAGCTGCAGCCTGCTGCTCGCCGTCCCAACATCTCACTCAAGTACCTTCGTCTGCCTCCTGATTTCCTTTCCACTGGCTGCAGGGAAGCAGAGACGAGTGGTCCTGGAGTGGCACTTGTTCTGTGGGAAACAGTAACTGTGGGGCCGTGCTTGTTTGTCCAGACTGAATTAAATGTGTGTATGTGAGTCCCTTTCTTCTCGCCTGAGCCGTTCGTCTTCAGAGCCGTTTATTGTGTGATGCTGGAATGAGGCGTGTTGGAAGCTGGGCACAGGGGAGTTTTGTGCTCTTGTTGTTTTAGACGTCATGGAGTCAAAAGAGAGAAAGACTAACGGGCCGAGCAGCTGTGTTCTCAGAGGGAGGACCTGAGAAAACAGCTGTGCTAGTCTTAGTGTTTTACTAACAAATGTTACTGTAAGATTTTAGAAAATCAGCAAGAAAATTAAAGTGAGACGCCTCGACAGGGTCCTGGTTAGTGAACACTGAATAGTTCAGATGGTAGAGGACCCTCATCACCGGCCGGTACTGAAAGGCAATAAGGGGTGTGTGTGTGTGTGTGTGTGTGTGTGTGTGTGTGTGTGTGTGTACTCAGTAAGGCCGACCAGAGTCACAGCTAAATAAGTAACACTCTGAACTCAACGTGATCCAAGATGGTAAACACAAAAATATGGTCAATCCTTTATTTTCAGATATCGGGTCAAACCCCATAAAGTGTGTTTGTAGAACGGAGCCCTGCCCAACACAGGTAGCTTATTATTATTAGTAATGATATTTTAAACCAAAACAGCCCAACCTGCATCTCAGCATTAAAAACTCTAGTTTAGTACTTTGGTTTCAAATGTGCCCTTTAAAGGGACTTTACGGAGTTTTGAATTTTTATGCTCGCGACTGCCCCCTCAGGCCAAAAGCGTAACGGCAGCTTCAATAGTAGGCTCGTGCACGAGGCGCGCATGCTGTACGTGCACACTCCTTAACGAAAATAACAGCTGAGACAGTCCCTTGTGTGTGTGTGTGTGGGGGGGGGGGGGGGGGAGGACAGGAGAACGCGCAGCTAATTAATTAAATAATTTGGTTCTGTACCTTTCTCTTCAGCACAGCCGACAAAGGTTTATGATGGGTCAGTCCTCCTGCATGCTCAGATCATTCCCTTCCCTTGATTGAAAAATTGTTCCAAAATGAAAGTTGAACCCACATCTGTGAATTCAATGCCGTTCGGCGAGTCTCAAATAAAAAATTGTGCATCTTACTGTAAAAAAATATACCATTAATGTGAAAAAGAAACTCTAAATGAACTATGTTCACATCCAGAATCGGACCCAGGACTTCTGCATGGGAGTCCGACGTCTTACTAGGTGAGCTAAAGCACCAGTGACGTCATTTGTATCTGTAACATTTATATCATTGATGACAGCTGAAACAACATTTAAAGAGCGGTTCGGAGCGAAAATGGCTATTTTGTTGCTAATTTGCAGGAAATATCTAGAAGAAAGTTCTACAGAAAGTAGCTAAGGGTCCTCAGAAACGTAGCTAGCTTTGTCACTAGGCGTTAGGAACAGCGACAAAGTGGCCCTGCCTCTCTCTCTGCTGCTAAATCTACGGATAGCAAATGCTACGGGCGATGCCTGAGCGTGAACGCGCATGAAGCAGCCTGCTCGACCCGAGCAACTCTCTTTTTCTGTGGTTTTACAGAAAAACAGGCAATCACAGTAAAAATGCCAGGGCTCATTCTACAGGACCAGGGCATTGCAGGAGAATGTATGAAGAAGACATTTATTATTTCTATACATGTTTTGGCTGTCACACTTCCATAATGCACCTTTAATGCAAAAGTGAAGGAGGTGATGCTTTTAAATAAAGTGAACCTCTGCTGACGTAGGCCCCAGAGCAGGTTGGCCCTGAAGCTGGTCTCTGTTCTCCCAGAGAAATCGTGTCTTCAACCCAACCCTCAGTCAAATGTCACGTTTGCTTGAATTTTCTGTTTTTGCAGCAGCATTGTAAAACCAGAGGAGCACCCCATTTCTGAAAAAAAAAAAAGAGTCTGTCGGCAGAAACTAAAAGAGCTCAGCACCTCAGTGAAGCTACATTTGGAGACATTTTTAGCATCCTTGATGCTAGCTGACTGGATTGTGGTAGATCTTTACTGCAGCACAAATAAAGTTGTGTTTGGAGGGAAAACGGAGGCAGGACTCCGAGGCCAGGACAGAGACGGATTGTGAGAGGTTTATTTGGCACGCCGCCTCCTCTTTGCACAGCAGCTCCTCCATCAGCATGATTGTCAGTAATTGCCTTTCGCTGCAGCGTCGCTGGCAGCATCCAAATCAGTCCTCTCTTCACCTCCTCCTCCTCCTTCTCCCACTCTTCACCTTTACCTCTCTCTTTCTTCCTGGTGTACACTCTCTGATTTCTTCCAGAGTCATTTTGTCTGTCTGTCTCCTGTTCCGCTGCGTCTCATACAGCCCTTTGAAGCGTTGCCTTTTAAACTCTTGACCAAGGCAGAAACGGGCTGATAATAGCTTATTATTCCCAGCTACACTTTCTAGCCACTCCAGAATAATAGAAACATGCACATGGCGTGAAAATATTTGATATTGTTATTATTGTTATTATCTGTGTAGGGAGTGTTACTTTAAAAAAGTAATTAGTTATAGTTACTGATTACTTTTTCACAAAAGTAACTCAGTTACTTACTGAGTTACAAGTTTTTAAAAGTAACTAATTACCAAAATAACTATTTTGTTACTTTTTCATTAAAGAATGCAAGAAAAATGGGTTCCCCTCTTAATTGAACTTACTTAATTTACTATAAATTACTGCAGTAGTGAAATATAAATGACTAATGACCGGAACATAATAAAATTTATGTCCAAATGTTTTTTTATATAAAACTGAATAAATGGGCTCTTAACAGTAAGAACTACAACAGGAACATTACACTAATCTATTAAAATGGGACTGTGTGATATTTAACACGACCCCAATCAGCTAAAATGTATAATAGAAATAGAAACAAATAGAAACACCTGTAAAGGTTCCTGAGCCTTTAAATGGTCTCTCAGTTTAGTTCAATTACAGAAATAAATGTAATTTTGCACAGTGTTGAAACTTTTCCAGCTACACATAATCGTGTGTTTTTAGCAGCATTTCTGTTGCTGCTTATCTAGTAACGGTTAAATAAATAAATAAAATCCTTTAAAATGGCACTAGAAGAGGCACAAATCTGATGGAAGACTTAAATTTACTAACTTGGGTCAGACCCAACCACAGAAGAGCTGAAGCTGGGTGGCAAAGACACTTAGGCTCAGTGTAACATTTGTCATGCACAAGTTTCCCGCTGTGGAACAGAACCGGGGAAGATGAACACGTCCAACCTCATCGTGCGTTTGAAGCAGGATCACAAAATATTGATTTTTTGCAGTGTGTGTCATAGAAACTTTAGACATTCTACTCGTAGCGGTTGGTCAGTGAACAATATTGTGTGTTTTTCCTTATTTCCCTAACCTCAGCTGTTCACATAAAAAAATTGGTCCGTTTCTTATAACCTTATATATCAGTCAGTACTGAAGGCTGCAATATCGGTGTCGTATCGGAAGTGTAAAAAGTCGTATCGGGACTTCCCTAATGCAAACTCCATTTCTCCTACCTGAGAGTGTTCAGGAACCCATTACAACAGGTAATGGTGTAACTATGTATTACTCACATAAATAGATGTGCTGTTTCAGCACTAAGCAAAGTCTTCCTCTAATTGTTTTCTCCTTGTTGTGAGTAAACAAAGAACTAAGTCATATAAAGAAGCTGTTTCATCATCAGTTATTGCCTCCCTATATTATTATCATTTCATTGTGTTTATTTCTTAATTTTTGCTTATCGTGTGTTTTTCTCTCTCCAAGTACCGCAGCAGTGTCCTAATGTTGCGATTCTCGCACATATGGCAATAAAACCTTCTGATTCTGATCATTAAATGACTGTTGGTCATGATTTCAGAGTACATTCATTAGGGATGCACCGATCAGGTTTTTTGCTGCCGATCACCGATACCGATATCAAAGAATGCTGATCACCGATACCGATCACGTGGATTGGCCAGAAATTTTCTACAACATCATGAGTGCAACAAACTACATAATCTGGAAATAAAGGAAATGTAACCTAATCTAAAATGGTCTGTATTAGGGTTGTCACGGTGTGAAAATGTAACCTCACGGTTATTGTGACCAAAATTACCACGGTTTTCAGTATTATCGCGGTATTTTTTTTAAACGTGCTATATTTTCACACAATTAAATAAACCCTGTATGTCAGGAAATATTGTCCTCAGTTTGTGTCTAACTTTTGCCTAAAACGTGTTATTTTGTAATTATGTTGTTTATTTGTTTACATTTTTTCCCTTTAGAGTTTAAAATACCAATAGTTGCCCATAACTTCTTATTTTATGTCTGTTTGATGTCATCATTTAAAAAATATTAGATCAGATGATACTCAGTACTCAAGTAGCTTTCTAATCAGATACTTTTTTACCCTTACTTGAGTAATAAACCCTATATCAGGAAAATATCGTCCTCGGTTTGTGTCCTTCCAGTGAGCTTTGCAGATGTGGGAAAATGTCATCAGGCAGTAATCATTGTTAAATTCATAATTATTCTCGGAGAGAGACCAACTCTTATCTGCCCCTGGGAGCCCCGTAATGCATAGCGTCATTTCAACATGGCGGTGTCCGCGACACGGTTTATATGCAGGTAGCGGCGCTGCGGCTGCTTTATATAGCGACTCGTTGCATTCCCCCTCAACCCAAATCCTCGGATCACGCAT